TGCCACCTGTTCGAAAATTTGCAGAAGAAAAAAATTGATTTACATGAGGATTTTTTTTTTAATGATCTCAAATTTTTTGGCTTCTAAATAAAAGATTGACATTGATAAATAATTCACCCATAAAAAATACTAGATGCTTTTCAATAGCTGAAAAAGTGGGGATGAGTGTCAACTTTCAAGAGAAAAGAAAAGAACCTTCCGCGTTTACTTTTTGTCTGGTAATCGAGAGAATGAAAGGTTTTGTTGTGTAAATATCGCTAAAAAATCGCCAAACGGTAATCCCAGTTCGAAGTCGAGTTTTCCGGCGAAACATTCTGTTGACATTTCGAACAGGTGGCAAGCACTAAAACCACCTATATTCTCATCAGCTAACTAGCCACATTCATCCCTCAAAATGCCAGACAAAAAAAAATGACTCCACTAAACAGGCCCTATCTCACGGTCTATGACTGTTGGAGGAGGAACTTGGTAAACTTCTCTCTGGATCTTCTTTGTTTTAGTTTTAGTGATGAGAACATCAATTAACTTAGGTTCGAATTGGTTATTGTAAGCAATCTGTTTAAGAATCTTAACTTCGTTATTGTAGTCCTCTTTAGATAGAGGGATGTTTAAAAGTCTGTGGATATAACAATGAAAAGAGGCTAGTTTATGTTGCTGTGGGTGGTTAGAATTGTTCGGTATTGTATGGTGTGTGGTTTGAAAATAACAAGAGATTATAAGATCAAAAAAAAACTACGCGACGATGTACACAACATCTTGTATAATACTAAGAAAAACATCAATAAAACCAATCATTCCATCTCGTCCTCTTCGATGAAGACTCTCAAAAAACTTAAAGAAAAAATTTCTAGAGAAAACTTGATTCTTACAAAGGCAGACAAGGGTTGTTGTCTGGTAGTTCTTGACAAAATCGATTACATCTCTAAAGTTGAAACTTTCTTAAGGAACAATAATTTCAAGATCTTACCATCCAACCCCCACAATGGTTTTATAAGAAAAACCAACAGAGTTGTCAAGCATTATAATGATTTTCTTTTAGATTACGGAGCCCCTAAAACTATAATGTCAAGTAATCCACTGGTACCACGCATGTACGGACTTCCTAAGATCCATAAGGTCGACATCCCCATCAGACCTGTGGTAAGCTTCACACAGACACCGGTTTCAATTTTATCAGCTTTCGTACTCAATCTTATTAAAGAATTGACTTCATTCTCACCAAGGTTTGGGGTAAGCAACTCATTGGATTTGATTGGTAAGCTTCAGAGTATCAATCTACCAAACAACTATCTAATTGTATCTTTTGATGTTACAAATTTATTCACTACTGTCCCAAAGACTGAGACCGTGGGCATTGTTGGAGATTTATTGAGATCCAAGAATGTAGACGAAGAGAAAGTCGTTGACATTTTGTCACTTCTCAATCTTTGCCTTTCACAGAACTATTTCTCCTTTTATAACAAATTTTACCAACAACCGGACGGCTTAGCCATGGGTAGTTGTTTATCTCCGTTCTTGGCGGATGTTTCTATGGATTTTCTTGAAACTAGTTACATTATGAATGGTGGCAATGGTGAGATCCTCCATTGGTTCAGGTATGTGGATGATTGTCTTTGTATTCTTGACGGTAATTCTGATCAGGCTGAATTGTTGCTCCAAAAGATTAACACTGTTCATTCAAACATTTCTTTCACTCTCGAGCTAGAAAGCAACAAAAAAAATCAATTTCTTAGACATCACAATCACCAAGAACCCCACAAATAATCTACAGTTCTCAATATACAGGAAACCGAGACAGACTGACCACACAATACCGAACAATTCTAACCACCCACAGCAACATAAACTAGCCTCTTTTCATTGTTATATCCACAGACTTTTAAAGATCCCTCTATCTAAAGAGGACTACAATAACGAAGTTAAGATTCTTAAACAGATTGCTTACAATAACCAATTCGAACCTAAGTTAATTGATATTCTCATCACTAAAACTAAAACAAAGAAGATCCAGAGAGAAGTTTACCAAGTTCCTCCTCCAACAGTCAGTAAATATGTGGCATTACCATTTCTTGATTCTGAAACTAATTCCAAAATTTCACTTGTCCTTCGCCAAAATGTCGAGCACTTAAAAATCTCATATAAAACAAAGAACAGTCTTGCATCACTTTTAGTTAATTCTAAAGACAAAATTGACCAACTTTCCAAGAGTGGCATTTATAAATTGAGTTGTAACTCCTGCTCCAGCACCTACATTGGTAGAACTTGTAGACCTTTAGGCACTAGGATCAGCGAACATTTAAAAAGAACAACCTCAGCCTTTGGTGAACACCTCAAAGCATCAAAGCATGAGTTTAGCCCCAAGTCTAATTCGAAGATTATTCATAATATAAATTCAAAAAATTTCAATCGTCTTGACTTTATGGAGGACATCGAGATACAAAAAGAGTTGGCAGACAACAACCGTTGCCTTAATACACAAGTCAATCTAAACAGAAATTACATCCCTCTGCACAGACGCCTTTTAAACTAAACGTCACTTTATGATGATATTATAGGACACTCCACTGAGGAGTCCAGCTCCTTAGCATCAAAGACAAAGTGTTTGAATTTTCCTAGTTTGGGTTTGGAAATTTTTTTTAAAATTTTTTAAATTGCCCGCGTTTTGTATTCTTGGACAGACTGTCAATTGTCACACCTGTTGTATACTAAAGAATTCTAACCTAACATCTATATAGACACGTTTGCTTTTTGACTTGAATTTATTAATTTCCAAAAGGGAAAATTGAAAGGATGGATTCCTCCTTGAGAAAGTTATAAAAATAAAGTTCATCCCCCGAATATTTTAGTTCGGTTTTTTGATAAATTTTAAATTGTTCAGTCAATCCATGTTATTGATTAGTTTGTGACCTTATGTAACCATGTGCACCGTTGTTTTTAAACCAAGTTCTTTTATATATACCTGACGAAGTGAGTAAAACCCAAGTTTTATAATTTCAAGGGCTACATTCCCCATTTTCATTTGCTGATGTTGGATTTTCCTTGCTTTTCAGGTTGGCACTGATGATGGCCTAAGGCGGAGAGCGCTCTGCACTGATTTTTCTTAATAAAATTTGCACGATATACAATTCTTTTGCTTAAAAATTTTATGGGCATCAAGTTTACGGCTCCCCTCTAACACGCAGAATGACCGACGAGATATGATCCAGACAACCTCACAGATCACGGTTCACCATACAAGAATTTACCAGTCTATTTTGAACCCCCATGAAAACCTCCCCATCCCAAACCTGCTGATCATACACCCAAATAAAAAACCCTCACCAATGAACAGCTAAAATCTTGCCGTCAAGACAAAATTAGACAAGAAAGTTTGGCGCTGGCGCCAACAGCCTTAGTCTGAAGCAGGAGACTCTGGTAATTTCATCAAGGTCTAATTTCTATGCTCAGTTCTTCGAAAAATTCCAACTAGTCAGCGAGTTAGTGTGTGGCAAACTCCTCTTTCGCTGACTATGAAGAAACCACTATTGTCTAATTAAATATCGGACACCCCAATTTGACCAACAATCATCTAGACACAAACTGCCAGTTTAGCTGAAAAACGCATATCCTAATCCCGGTAAATTCTTGCACCCAATCCTACCAACCCTCATTCTCTGACATTCCATACAAACCTCCCCACTTGCACCAAAACCATTACCTAGAGACTCATGAGGTCTCAGGATTGGTCAGGGTGCAGAGCTGTCGAACCCATTTATTCCAAACCCGCGCTCAAACGCACATAACCGAAGCTCACAATTGCTAGTGAGGCCGCGTCCAGTGAACCCGATCGCCCAAGGGCACAACATTTTTGTTTATTCTAGTCTAAAATTAATGAAAAGTGGGGTTTTTCAATGCTTTTTTCCCACAGAACGGGCGCTGCGCGCTCTTTAACTCCGACTCTGAGCATACCACCCTTATTCTCAAGGCAGGCCAGTGTAATGGCCCAATGCGCACCATCCGTGGTATTCACCAGCGACTCTAGGTCGATGTTAAAGAGCAACCAGCGAACGTCGTGGAAAGTTGAAAATAAAAAATAGGAACAGGGGTTTGCAGGTCATAACATCGATCAGGCTAAAATGCCCACACTGCTCACTGGCCGAGCTTGTGAGCACAACGTACTACACACGTTGTAATTTGTCATAAGTTAATGTTATATGTTTATAGCTTGAGGGGGGCTATCCCCCCTGCCTGTAATGTATAATGAGAAATTATTTAAATAAAGAAGTGAGTTGAATTGAGTATCTGCTTCGCATGCTGCGAGTCCCAGGTTCGAATCCCGGCTTGGGCATGGTTGTTTATTTGTTTAACCGGCTCATTAGCTTGGCGAGCGGATGTGGATGGTCTTTCTCCGGCTTGCGTGATGTCGGTGGAGTTTGAATGGCCGACCATGGATTGCGAATCGGACCATCTTAGGGTGGGGGATGCATGATAAGGCTGACCATTTAGTATGAATAAATGGGAAGGAGTAGAGTCCATGCAAATGATGTACAATAAGCCACAATGAGCAATGGGCTCGAAGGGGTGAAAAAAAAATCCATGAAAGCTAAAGGAGCACGCTCTAAGGTGGAATGTACCAGAAAAAAAAATACATTTCATGGGACCATCCGTCCGCGAAATGAGCTTTCGCGGCCGCAAAATCCAATTTCGCGGCCGCCACACCTTAGGTGTAAAATGTATCAAAACCTTGACAAATCCATACAGTTTTTCTGTAACTTTACATAATTTTTATAGTTGCACAAAAAATAGTGTGTATACCATGACCGAGAATCTTTTTAGCGTCCTCGAGATTATCTTGCCTCGGCGGCAACAGGCCTCGGCGATAACTTTTCTCTTCGTACGCTGAAAAGGCTATTCGCGGCCTTGGTATACAAATAACTATTAAAGCCCACATTAAGATTCCAACATTTCAGTTAGGAAATACCCTATAGACAAACTTAACCTCATAAAAACAAAGTTCTTACCTGATTATTAGGAAAAGTGCCATCCTTGTCAATAGCATTGACCTGAGTAACTTTAGTTCCAATCGGTTCACCCTCCAGTACAGTCTCCTGTTCTCTTTCAGTGAAAAGCGGTATTTCATCGTTGACATCTTCTAGCTGAATATAAACTATTGCTTCAGATGCGAGTTGTTGAATGCCATTATTCTAGAATATTATATTTATCTGTAAGAATACAATCACAGGAAAATTTGATTGTTAAATACCTCAACACGAATAGTCAAATTATATTCCTTGATATTTTCATAGTCCAGTGGATGGTTAACTTTAATATCGGCCCACGTGAATCCATTATCGGGTCTTTGCTGTAGATAGAAGGTATGGAATTTGTTGGTTTGAGCTGTAGATCCAGGCATCAACCGGTAGAATACTGTCGGATTGTTTTCAATTCCAGAGCTAGAGGAAATATTTTATTTTCAGTGCAGATTCTTCAATACACAAGCAGTTTTTATTTCAAAGTCAAAAAAGGTTTTAAAAAATAAAAACTGCTTGATAATCAGAAAACGACGCATACAAAAAACTATCGCTTGGCAACGATTAAAAAAAGCAGCGTCCAAAAAGTCCATGGCCGACAAAAATTCTATAGCCACATGCAAAAATATATATTTTTTCCTTGTAAAAATGCCACACTCCACGAGAATAGTCAAATAAATTACTTAATAATATTTGAGTGTGGCTTTTTTACAAAAAAAAAAACATTTCATGCAAAAATCTTATATAGGTATATATACTAACTAAGGACACTGGCATCCGCTTTCTCAAATATAAAACATTTTTCAAAAAAAAAAGTAAATAAAAATATTACTATAATATAGAAAACTGTCTACTTTGAACAGATAAAAATATAAAACATGCAAAATTTGGGTCCCGAATGCCAATTACCTCGTTTTAAAAAAAAGTTTGTAAAAACTGATCCATTTTTTTTTTGTAAAAAAATTTAGTACCACTTTATAAATGCACCTTTAACTCCTTGTTACTCGACCAAAAAAAAAAAAGAAGTCTTAACAGGGACTCAAGTGTACATTTATAAGGGATTTAGGGCAAAAAATTCCAGGTGGGTTTTGGACAAGGATAAAGTCAAAGTTAAATACAGGGACAATGGACTAAATGCTCTGAATGCTGTTATGGTGCCCTGATAACCAACGTTTTTTCAGGAAGCTCAGTGTGTTAGTTTTTGCCATGTGGTGCGTTTCGTAAACAGCATTCAGTGATTCCAATTATAGGAATTGCACCTTCTAGTTCCTTGTGTGACTTAATACCTAGTTTGTAGATATTGCAAAAAATAATTAAGTTCATCAGGGCCGGACTTATGTATATTTAGTAGGACTAGAGTTTGCAAATAATTTAGAACAAAGACTAAGAAAAATGGAATAATTGAAGGGGGCATCATGTTCTCTCCACTTTTAATAAATTTTCAAATTAAGCCATTTAAGTGCGCTATAATCAAGTGATCATTTCTTTTAAGCTAGCGTCAAGCTTTTTTTCAGATAAGTAACTCAAAATAAATCGCGTTATATATTGACTCCCTTAAAATTAGAGAAATCCCGGCCCTGAAAGCAAGATAAGGTTGAAAAGTATATTGAGGAGCGCAAATAAAATAAAGTAAAATCGTCTTTATCGATTTCAAAGGTTCGTGCTGCCCCCATCGAACGAAAATGAAACTAAATAAAAAATCATAAACTTCATGTAAATAAAAGCGTGCAGATTACGATTCCGACCACTACGCGGCGCTGCGTGCTGCTGCGGTGGCGGTTTTAACACTGACACCATATTAGATTATCATATTGATTCTGGCCTGGGGGAGTGGGAAAATGTAAACTGCATTGTTATACGAACAGATGGCGGTTACGAGATTTCTAATAACGATTTTATATGCTGGATAACCTTTTTTTAGTGCCTGATTAATATTGACATTTTAGAATAAATGCAGTTTACATTTCAATTTCTAAAAGAAAACCTTAATTAGATTCTAAGAATTACTATATCTTTTTTCAGTTAGCGAAATTTCTAGATAATTTCTGCCTTGCATCCACTCAGTACTATAATCATACTCTAGAATAGCATACTATGCATTTTGACTAATTTCCAGTCCACAGCTTTGAAATGGTTCATTTAAAGCGGAATGTACGTCTGAACATTCGTCATTGAATTGTTAGAAGAAATAGCTCTATACTCAGATTATTTTGAGCTATCTAGCTGAATAGAAAAATGGGTTGTATAACTCAACTAAGTCCGGACAGGAACTATTTGAATAAGTTATAAGTTTGGGTCTTCGTGTCTGCGACATGTTTCCAGAGCACGGATATTGATGAAAGCTTCGACCTCCTAATAATTACAATTCTGCATATTAAATTTATAGGGGATGAAGCTCAGGAACTTGCGCTGAACTGTCTCAACAGCCTGAATATTGATATGGGACTAGTTGCAGGGTCCAAAATTCAAATAAGGACGAACAACTGGGATCAAACTAGGAGTAAAGCAAAGCGCTTTAACCAAAGTCTGAACTCAGGAATATAGGGAAGATACGGCTTATGATGAAACAAGATATCAGCATGCAAACATTCAAAGCCGTTCGTAGAGTTATATATCATCATGAACATCTGAAGCTTGCTGACAATCGGAAATACAAAGGTACTTCACTGGTCGAAATATCGCAATTATTGAAAATAAAGTTAATGCGTCCAAAATCATGTCTTTGGGAAATCCCACGTTACCTATCACTTTCAAACAAACATCCTGAACATGGACAAGAGCACAAAATCCATTAGAGGTATCAACAGCCATACATCTTAGAAGAACTCTCAGATTCACCTCAGATTTCGGAAAAATAAAATCAAGCTGAAGAGAGAGAAATTGCTTGACAAATGGTGCAGCTTGACTACTATCAATTAAAGTGCATGGAGGAGAATTTCGAAGCATACTAACATCTGAAAGAAATATTAGAATAAAATGACATACACAACATGGATGATAAATAGATTAAAGTATCAAACAAGAAGGATCTGAAGCTCCAAAGAAGCACAACAAAATGGAGAATATGATAAGCACTGAAACGAGGAAATTGATAAAGCAATGCGACGGAAATCGAGATATAATAGAATATACAGAACTCAAAACAAAGAAGTCTCAAAGAGGAAAACAGCGAAGCATGATAGAATGATTCGTACAGACAAAAATTAAGGCTTAAATTGTCTATTTAACCTATATCTAAAGAATGTTGAAATGCCAGAGAAATACATCAATAGCAATAGCCTCGTATTTCTAGTCTATAAAGACTGTCATAGAACTGACATCAGAAACCACCATCTCTAAGGTTTGCCGACAACATTATAGCTACTCGTTTCGAACAGTTTTAAAGAGCTACAGATCATAACGGGATAAATCAACGACCTCAGAACCTCAAACTAACAGCAGGCTTTCACTTGAGACAACGGGCTCAGAATTATGTTCGTTGGCAAGAATTGGAAGAGGCCTACATCCAGAGATGGATGATAACAGGCCAGGTAGCTATAGGTAACTCTATATCAAAAGCCATAACAAGAGTATGCACATGCCACTTCTGTCCGAAGGCGTCAAAAATAGAGTTGCCAAAGGTCAACATAATTGAGCTCCGCATGTCATCAATTGGAACTTAGAAGTTCAACTGAATGTGGAGTCAAGCAACATATATCTTTCTGGTCTTGAAATGTGATTTTATCGAATACTAACCCAAACTAACCCAAGCTTCTAAAGAATCATTCACACCAAAGTGATGCTCGAAGATTAATTTATATCGTCATTAAACATTGTCCGCGAAAGATCACTGAATGCCTTTAGTACTTTCCGTTTCCGACTTACTGCATTAAACTCAGAAATGAGGGAATACTGTGAAACAACTGACTGTTGGAAAATTCATTGTAAACTATTAACAGTATGAAAAGTGAATGGAACAGTTGGTATTTGTCTTACATTTCATCTGAGAGCGCCAGAAGTTGATTTTACCCACCAAAAATAGAAAAAAGCATATTATAGTACGTCCATGATACATTAATACCAAAATTTTTCAAAAAAAAAAAAAAAAAAAACAAGTACCAAGTACCTAACCTTTCAATGGATCTCATATTTTTGGTTATTTATAAGAGAACATTCAATACCTATCTAAACCAGTAATAGTATATTACATACCGAGTAGGGAAGTGTTTCATTACTGTCGAGAGATTTATATAGTCAATCGAGACGCGAAGCGTCGAGATGGACTATTAATCTCGAGACAGAAATGAAAACTTTCCTCAGAGGATTGTATACTATTTTATTTGCAAGCACACCATTATTTATGATTAATCATTCAATTTTTTTAATATTAAAAAAATAAAACAAACATGCCAAAAGTGTCATTCACTGTTTTGACGTTTTTACCTGACATGTTCTCATTGTTGCCAGCAAAGGTAAATAAATTAGAGTGAGGGAAATCGGTGAGGGAAGTCGAATAGGGAAATCGGTGAGGGAAATCGAAGAGGGAAGTGACACAGGTAAAGTGACACTTCCAAATTTTTAAAAAGTCAGTAATGTCAAGATTATATATATGGTTGCAAACAAAAGTAATTATTCTGCAAGTTTGTATTTGTACTCCTTGGATGTTTTATAGGCAGTAATGATCTATCAAATGAGTCTACAAATTAAGAATGATAAATAAAATATCTCATAAGCATAAGGTTGTCCTGAAGATATCACCAAAAATTTTTTAAATTGAATCAAGTTTCCACTCCCCCGCAACTCGGCCATGCTGGGCACACAGACCTGGCTTTGACCGACACCACCTTGGCGCCGACCGGAAAATTTTCCCGGATGTAGATCGGGCCGTAGACCACGTGATCCCAAACGGGAGGATTGTTGGCCCGATCGACCACGTCGATCTGCACCTCCACGGAACGAGAGAGGGGCGGATAGCCTTTGTCCTGCGCGGTAGCCTCTAAGCGGTACGTCTCACGCTGCGTGTGTCGTGCGCAGCAACGAATGGAAAATAGAGCAAGAGCCGGGGTACGGCGTTAGTTTTTGATTGGGGAGAATTAGGTTTTTTTTTAGTGGTTTTAGGGGCTTGTTGGAGAGACATTGAATAATGTTTAGGTAATTTCACCCACAAACTACCCAATGTCTTCTAATTGAAGCAAAATTGGAGACCAATAGTATCCAATATCGCTTCAGCAGTGTAACAGTTATGTTGTCAAGGGTGAATTAGGAACTATGTATTAAAGATACACCAAAAATACTATAGATATATTAAAAAACATACATAAAAACGCTCGGAGAAAATGGATCGTTTAATTATCAATACCTGCAATAACACAACTTGCTTTTCAAAAAAATTTGAAGTCGTTTGACCATATACCTGAGAGGGTTATCTGGAAGGTTTTCAAGAACTAGTTGCTTGAACAGCGATTGTCAACTGATCAAATGAAAATGTTATCTGTGAAACACTGAACTGAATGCAATGACTAAAGTGTGACAGAGATTTAAATGAGGTCTTTTTTCCAAATACATTTAAAAAAAAAAAAAAAAATTAATAAATGGTTAAATTTCCTCTTAAAAATGAGGAACTTGCCCAGTTACATAGTAAATAAGAATCCTCTGGCCAATCATAACAAGTTGTTCTAGCTTTTAAATACCTCATAAGTCTATTCAAGCAGCAATTACAAACCAACTCGAATTGTAACAAAAATAGACCGCTTGAAACCCTCCAGGAAAAATATGGTCAATGAAAAACCAAAACGACTTTTGACCCATCGTCATACAAACCTGGCCTTGACCGATGTGACCACAGTCCCCACTGTGACATTTTCTTTAATGTGGATGGGGCTTAATGTATCTCTGTCCCATAGTGGCGGCTTGTTGTTGCGGTCGACCACGTCTAATTCGATGTCGACGTCGGCGTAAGATGGCGGCACTCCCCGATCGGATGCGCGCACACGCAATCTGTACCTGTCTCTCTGTTGACGAGAGTGAAATAGACGAAAAGGCACGATCATATGAGTGGGCGAGAGAAAGAGAGAAACAGAGAAGAGGGATAAAAAAGAGAACCAAAACATATAAATATATGGTTTTGAAACTTAAATGGTAAAAAATTTGTTTGGTTGTGTGTGCCAATCAGTGGTGTTGAATATATGGCATTTGATTAGGCAAATTTTTAAGTCGCTTGCTTGTTTGCGCATGTCACTCTTGAGGGAGCCCAGCCTTAGATAATGATATGCAGAGTATGTTCTAATAAGATAGCATTTTAGTTAACTATAAAATTTGAAGATTTTTTGACGTCGTCGGCATATGGCTGAAAGCAGACGTCGTCATAAACTACTTAAAGACCCTCTTTTGTACCTCTTTGGTGAATAGGTTGTTAACTCCTGTCAGGATCGATAAAATTGGTACACGAGACGATGATCAGCTACTATCTGACTCAAAATCGGACTCGCCAATTCGCACCTTTTCGTGCGACTAGATCAAAGTCATAGTCAAAAATGCTCTATTATCCAAAGAACAAAATAGTTATTCTCATTGACAAAGCGGTTCTAAATATAATAATAATAATAATAATAATAATAATAATAATAGTTATTTATGTATCAAGGGAATTATGCAGGTGTTAATACCCCAGGGCAACGTTTGTGTCCCGAGGGCCTCCGGCCCGAGGGACACCAATTGCCCGTGGGTATTAACTCCTGATAATTCCCGTGGTACATAGATAATTTTATATCCTACTGAATTTACTGTATTCTGTCTATTTTTATAAAGGAATAAGCCATAAATCAAAATTTCTATTTTTTGTCAAAGTGTTACCTATTCAAGCTAAAAGCGGGAGTTATGGAAATCCTTAACTCCCTTAGGAGTTATGATATCCTTAACTCCCTTCCTTAACTCCCTTGGGAGTTATGAAAATCCTTAACTCCCTTGGGAGTTAAGACCCTGTTTATGATTATCGTAACCAAGGTATTATATGGTTTTAATAGTTCAGTAGGATATAAATGCCTTTATTGCCATAATCGTTGGTTAATATACACGATACAGGAACAGAGTGAAGAGTAAAATAAAAATAACCAGCAATCGACAAAAGGCAGAGTTCGCACTCATCTGACGCAGCAGTGAGCAGCGCTCTTACACTCAGCTCTACTCACACTAGTATATTTAGATATAGGAAAGGAACTGTAGTTGACCGGGGAACTATTAGTTACCTGTGTTTTATTTAGTCCCACAAAAAGTTCATGAAAACGTTTTTTTTTTTGGTAAAATCGTCTTAAGTTTACTGGACCCAATAGTTTTGGGACGTTTCCTATTCAACTTTTACGGGTCAATTCTGCGCACATCTGTAAGCAAATCTATAAATTTCTATATGCCTATCCTATAGACACTGCAAAACGCATCGATTGCCAAACACCCGATTGGAGATATTAACTATCCTATAAGATATTCTGTAATCTACAGAAATTGCAGAACTGCAAATTGTCTATAGGCAGCTATAGGCTTATATAAATTTATAGATTTGCTTACAGATGTGCAAAGAATTGGCCCATTCATTAGGAAAATGTGCGATAACGGCACTAGTTCGACTTCAATCTTGATGTGTAATCCGATCTTCAGTCGTCAAATTCTGAAATGCGTTATCTTCGGCCCTATTACTTTTAATAATTCATCAAAACTGGTTTTACATAATGCTCTTCGAATTTATTATTCGAATAATTCGAAATTGCCTTAGTTTTTACATTCTATTGATAATAGAGCGCCATAAGCAGATTAAAACAACTAAAAAAATGTTGAATTGCCTGTCTGAATATGACAAAAATGCTGTATCAATGGCACACATCTAAAATAGAATAAATCGTGAAATATGTGTTTCAAGATAACTGCAACTGATTAGCTAAAGAAATAATATTGTGATTGGCACACACGCCAAACATTAAATGAAAAAAACAAAACAATAACTAAACTAAATGGTAATTAATTAATCAAAATTAGTAAATGTTAACTCAATCACACAACTGAACGTAAACAATAAATGATGATGAGGCCGACATAGTTTTTTTTTTCTTAATTTTCTTTGTTATCACATATATGGTGAACAGACTGTGTTTTGGTCTATATTTTACGATACCCATGAAAATAGGGTTGCACAATAATTTAAGAAATTTTTATTTACATTATGTAAAACTTTCACGTAATGAACTTTTCCTGAAAAGAATATAATGATATATTAAATATGGAATCAATTATAATACTTACCTACCTGTATAAATTTTGTCACAATTTATTTATTATTTATTAATTACCTTTTAGTTTTTTACAGTTCTGGTTAGTAGTAGGTATCTAATTTATTATTTTGCAAATGAGGGTGATTATGGGATATAAAATGACAAATAAAGTGAACGAAAGTCTTAGTTTGGCGAAATATCTCTAGCTAGTCTTTTATGCGGTTTGTTAGCTGGATTCATCAAGAGGATATATGAAAAATCTCCCTGTTAAAGCCATTAAACTTTGTTGACCAGCCAGAAACAACTACTGCTAGAGCGAATACCTTTACTGGCATTAAATAACTGTAAGCTACGTGAGTATCACAAAAAATGCAGATCAATAACATGTATGTAGGTACTGCACAAGATTGTTTGAGAGAGGTAGGTTGCCAGATAGCTTAATGACGTCATATGGGGTGCCTCAACATAATTCAAATCTCCATAAGGCACCCCAGATGCGTCATCAAGTTACCCATTACCAGACAACCTATTATGTACTGCAGTTCTTGTGAGCACGTGGGAATCCTCGCATCATTCGATCCATTAAAAAGATACAAGCTGAAGCGGTAGTTTTCCTGTTCAAACCATTATCAAACTTTGTTGATCATCCAGAAACAACTACTGTAATTGCAAATACTGGCAGTCAAGACAACCGACTGTTCTGAGCGTTCGTTGTGTCAAATTATCCGAAGTTTTTCTAGCAAACACTTTACGGTCCTCCAAGAAGAACTCACAACCTTATCCTCAAAAGCTGAGACGGGTCGGTTAAATTGAATAGCTCTGTTGTTTTTGGCTGGTCAATGGAACCTATGTTCTTCTAATGAATCAAAATAGGGACGGAATGCGTAGAGGACGTTGGAGGGACTGTTACATCTATAATCTACAGCATAGTGGTTCAATCTCCAAGAAATGACTGCAATATCTTTGACTTCACTGTTATTATAACAAACAAAATATTGTTGAATGTTCGCTGGCTGAATTCAATGTATAGCTTGTCGAATATTTCCGAGACAGGAACCTTAGCTAATGTGAGCTGATTCTGATACAGCTTTATAAATTTGTATGCTGCTCTGGGTTTCATTTCTGTAAGCTAAACCGATTCTTTAACTCTAAAATAAATCGCACCTACCTAATAAAACTATGGAGCAACGCCAATATTTTCATAACATAACTTGTTTGATTGCTGATTCTTTAATAGGTTTTAGTAACTATCTACAGTAGTAATCTGATATTGTATCTAGATGCTTTACAATTTCTAAGCAAGCTTCCTTTTATCGCTTGATCTATTGAACAAGTAGGGATCTTTAAATACCTGGGAGTAGATATTACCAGTGATAAGATACCTACTCAGAATCGAAGTCGAACGACAACGAAAGAAAAGCAAGTAAATCGCTGGAGCGCCATTAAAAATATCATTCAATAACAAACACATTAACATGGAATCGAAGGTGTAGTAGTCATTTAGTATTAATAAATTAATCCGCTAAGTTTCAAGCTACTAACCAGGAGTTTCATTCCCATCCAGCCTGTAGAGTCATCCACTCTTGGATGTAGGTCACTTCCAAATTGGTCCAAGCAAGCCCATCTATATTTAGTCTGATCGAATTTTGCGATTTTTGCCAACGCTCTGCCTGGTCCATTCGCGAGCCAAACTAAAGCGCTGCACCTCCACCTGTGTGGATCTTGTCTCGCTATACGGCAGCTCATTGCGACTCTAGTTGTGCCACAACCTCCACCACATCTGTCACCCCAATCCGTTGGCGGATCACTTCATTTCGAATTCTGCCACTCAAGATAATTCCAAGCATGGGTCTATCGGTTACTTGTTGTCTAGTTTACCGTTTCGAGCAATCGACATTGTCCCAAGTCTATGTGTTAGCACCGGCAGCCCATAGTGCTAAAATTCTTTGTGTTTGTTAAGTTTAAGTATATGATTATCGATCTGTCTTCCTATTTCCAATTTCCAACCATCTCTGTCAATCCAGGCATCCTCCTCCAAGCATATGTTTCTCATTTTTCCGCTTACTCTACTTTTCAACTTTCTCTCGGTCTGTCGCATCTTCTTCATCCTGTTGGCTTCCACTCAATGCAGTGGCGGACCTAGGACCTTTGGGGCCCGACGCAAAAATTTTTTTTGGGGCCCTGTCAAGCATGACATGAAGAAGTATTTTTCTTGTGGTGTTGGGTTGTAAAGTGAGTGTGCGGAAGTTATTTATATTTTTGTTTTTAACAACCAAATATAGAAATAAATTTAATCAAAAAACAAGTTTATCAAGAACATATGAGACAGAAAACAAGTTAAACAAAAAAAAATTTATAAAAATTCAAGAACTTTTTATCTAAACAAAAAGAAATACATCATAGTAGTACCGCACTGCACTGATACTGTCCGTACTCCACCGACAAGTGCCATAAAAAGTTTGGAAGACAATAGGCAATTTTTTGCGAGGATAACCAAGCATAATCTTTTGCTGGATTATATGATGTGTCATTTGTGTCATACTCCCCTAACTCATCCCGCACCATCAAATTCTGGGATACTCGAGGATCAAGAACTCCTAATTTCTCCTGAGAGAACAGACCGAAAATCACCATTTCTTCATTTAAAATCGACGAAAAAATTAACACTAGCACAGCCTGAATAGCAAGCATTCCATCGAGGTCTGCGGGTGACGTCATCACCACAAGCGGCTGATAGTAGTGACGTCACTCGC